TTAATGTATAATATAAATAATTTAGGTCCCAAAACAGAACCTTGAGGCACTCCACATACAATATCCAGCTCACTCGATTGGTATTCACCCAACTTCACAAATTGACGCCTCTGTGTCAAATAACTTCTAATCCATTTCAGAACCATTCCTCTGACCCCATATTTTTCTAACTTGTCCATTACTAATTCATGATTGATTGTGTCAAATGCTTTTTTTAGGTCAATAAATATCCCCATCGTGTATTTCTTCTCATCCATAGCACTTGTAATGTCCTCCATCAGGTCGGTAATGGCCAAAGATGTCAATCGGTTCGACCTAAAACCGTATTGGCAATCAGAGAGGATTTTATGTTTGTCAATAAATGTATCTAATCTGTTATTAAAGAGTTTTTCCAAGATTTTTGAAAATTGTGACAACAGAGAAACCGGTCTATAATTTGTGAAGTTGTGCTTATCACCAGATTTATACAGTGGAATAACCTTTGCTATTTTCATATTATTAGGGAACTGCCCAAGTCGAAATGACATTAAAAATATGGGTTAATGGTTTGCATATCCCCTCAATTACCCATTTAACAGTTGTCATAGTGATACCATCACTATCACTAGATGTTTTGTTAACACATTTATTCACTATCGCTATAATTTCCTTTTCAACTATGGGCTTCAAAAAGTAGTTTAGTCAAAAATAGTTCCTTTCGATTGTATTATTATTTATAGTGAGGGATGTATCATCTGTACAAATGCTTCTTGCTAAACCAGGACCAACATTCAGTTCCTTCAGACATCCCTCTCTCGCTTCTTGCTCCACTAGAGCAGTTGGGGTTAAGGGCCTTAATTGCTCAGGGCACCACAGTGGTGTTGATGAGGGTGGGATAAGAGTGCTATTTCACTTGTCCCAGATTTAATCATGCTGGTCTGGGGACTGAACCAGCAACCTTCCAGTCACAAGTTTGCTCCCCACTTTAAAGGTGAGAGCCCAGGACAAGCCACCACACCCATGATTGGATCAATATAAAACCATTATGTATGATAGAGCATCCATTGTATATATCTTACCTTACTGGGGGTCTCATGTACTATGTACTGCCCTGTTGAATGCTGAAGTGTTTCCTCTCTGAAATAAATAAAGCTCAAAGGTTACAGCATTTTTTTAAAGCAGCTTTCAGAGTGATCTCAGTGTTTCACTGCATGAGGAGTCACTGAGAGGTTGTAGTGTGGATGAATCATCTGGAGAATAATGAGAACATAGCTGTATTCCAGTTAACTGGAACCTTTTAGTGAAATGTATTTTTGTGCTACAATTTTGTCTCCATCTCTCAGCCCGACCCCCTTCACCCCACAATCTGCTTAGAGGGAACATCAACCCCTTAACTTGCAGTTCATGAATGTATTGACTATTTTAAATTAAGTTATATGCCTCATAGTTTATTTGGTGTCAAATGTTCACAGGTCTAATACACTAAACTTTTTATTTGGTGAATCCCAGGTCTCTTCCACTGGTGAATTTCAATTCCCCTAATTGCATCCACTTTTCCCTTTTCTTAGTCCTGCCCACATAAGATGAATAAAAAGATACAAGGAGAAACTGAGAGGAGTAATGAACCGAGGAAACACGTTTTAACTGACATGAGATGTCTGTTGCTTGAGCCTTCATGTGAAGTGTCCAATCAAAAACTGATTTCCAATAACGGGGTGTGTCAATCTCTAACAGCAGGGCGGCACAGCAGTGTGGTGGTTAATGCTGTCGCCTTACAGCAAAAAGGCTGTGGACTCAATCCCAGGCTTACCCGGGGCCTTGGTTCTTTCTGGATACTCCAGCTTCCGCCCACAGCACCTTTGGATGATTGGTGACTCTAAATTGCCCATACATATCATTATGTTTTACAGACTCTGTGTTCTTCTAAACAATCCTGGTAGCAGCCCTTGCATGCTGATGTTTTGCTAGCTAAATAGGTTGTATGTCTTTACCTGAGGATCATATGTTATTGTACAGTTTGGGAAATTCAGAAATGTCGGTTACGTGCTAAGATCTAAGATTCTCTGAGTATAGGTGCAGCCACGACGAAATAGAAAACAAGTTGGCTAACTAGTTTCACGTCAGTTCGAGCAGCACGAAGAAAGGTCAGCACAACCGGGGTCAAAGATTGACTGATTTGAACTTTAGGTGCACCCCTGCTCCGAGCTGCACACCGCAGACATTCATGAAAAACCTGCACAGCTCACCACATACACAGCAATGGCAAAGCATGTACAAAAGCCATTTTTTTGTTGAGATAATTATGATTTCCCTTGTTTCAATCATGAGTGTAAGCAAGCAATAGAAATAACTGCACTAAAAAGTTTTATAAAGCTGAGAAGAACTAGAGTGGGATAAAATTGTTAGTTTTTTTTTCATTG